ACTCCTTTTCAATGGGCATTCTATGCTTCCGATCAGACAAAATCATCCAACATCAGACTTTGTTCTTCAATTTCTCACCTCCTCATAAAAAATAGTAAATCTGACTTCATTTTCCTCTTAAAATTATTTCATTATCATTCTAGGGACAGGTTTTCTTGGTAGGTTGGGGTTTTTTTAATGATGTATCAGGAAAAATATTCACATATGAAAACATCTGTTTGTGGCAACTCCTACCACCTTCAGAAACTATTAAAATAAAAGAAATGGCCACTTTTATTCCATTAGGAAAGGGGCAGTTCTGAACATGCAGAAGACGACTGAAGTTGTAGAGTGCAGAGGTAAGAAATAAACAGTTCCACGTAAAGGAAATGCAAAAAAGTCTGCCTTGCCCAGAGTAATACAGTGTGTGTTGAACAGTACTGTTTTATTTATGGACTGTTGTAAAAGGGAACTTCAAGCACAAATCTTCACAAACATTGTGCCACCAAACATTCCATAGAGTTCCAGGGTTATGCGTGCACTACCAATCATTACATTGGTAAAATCAGCTGGTTATTGCTATTTGGGTCTTAAATTATTTTGGTTAATATTTTTGATAAATTCAATACCTACGGCACATTTACACCTAGCTGAAGCAGAAAAAGAGGAAAGACTGTAGTTCAGCACATAATGCCACTACCTTTCAAAACAGAGATACTGTAAGGAAGGTTAAAGAAAGAGTAACCCCCACAATGAACAAGAATGGCGACCTAGTACCAACAGATGAGAAGGCTGAGGTACTCAACTTCTTTGCCTCAGACTTCACTGGCAACCTCTCCCCTCACCCCTCCTGAGTCCATGGACCACATGAAGGGGACCAGGGGGTAAAATCCCTCCCACTGGAAGGGAAGATCAGGTTTGTGACCACCTGAGGAACCTGAACACACGTTAAGTCCATGGGACCTGATGAGATGCATCCCAGAGTCCTGAAGGAATCGGCTGATGTAGTTGCCAAGCTTCTCTCCCATGATATTTGAAAAGTCATGGCAGTCAGGTAAAGTCCCCAGTGACTGGAAAAAGGGAAACACTGCACCCATTTTCAAAAAGGGTCAAAAGGAAGACCCTGGGAACTACCAGCCTATCAGCCTCACCTCTGTGCCTGAGAAGATCATGGAACAGATCCTCCTAGAAGCTATGCCAAGGCACATGCAGGACAAGGACATGATTCGAGACAGCCAGCACGGATTCACCAAGGGCAAGTCCTGCCTGAACAACCTAGTGGCCTTCTGTGATAGAGTGACTGCCTCAGTGGACAAGGGAAGAGCTATGGATGTCTACCTGGACTTCTGTAAGGCCTTTGACACTGTCCCCCACAATATCCTTCTCTCTGAATTGCTAAGATATGGTTTTCATGGGTGAACTGTTTGGTGGATGAGGAATCGGTTGGATGGTTACATCCAGGTCAACGGCTCAATGTCCAGATGGAGATCAGTGGCAAGTGGTGCCCCTTAGGGGTCCATACTGGGGCCACTACTGTTGAATATCTTCATCACTTACATAGACAGTGGGATTGAGCACACCCTCAGCAAGGCTGCAGATGACACCAAGCTGAGTAGTGTGGTTGACACACCTGAGGGATGAGATGCCATGCAGAGGGACCCAGACAAGCTGGAGAGGTGGACCCATGTGAACTTCATCAGGTTCAACAAGGCCAAGTGCCAGGTCCTGCAACCAGGTCAGGGCAACCCCCAGTATCCATCCAGGGTGGGGGGTGAAGGGACTGAGAGCAGCCCTGCAAAGGACCTGGGGGTGTTGGTCTATGAGAAGCTGGACATAAGCCGGCAATGTGCGCTGGCAGCCCAAAAGGCCAACCATCTCGTAGACTTCATCAAAAGCAGCATGGCCAGCAGGTTGAGGGAGGGGATTCTGCCCCTCTACTCTGCTCTAGCGAGACCCCACCTGCAGTACTGTGTCCAGCTTTGGGGTCCACAGCACAGGAAAGACATGGACCTGTTGGAGCAGGTCCAGAGGAAATCTGGATTTTGTGATCCTTGGATCACAAAAATGATCCAAGGGCTGGAGCACCTCTCCTATAAGGACAGGCTGAGAGAGTTGAAGTTGTTCAGCCTGGAGAAGAGAAGGCTGCGGGGAGACCCGACTGTGGCTTTTCAGTACTTAAAGGGGGCCTATAGGAAAGATGCGGACAACCTACTTTAGCAAGGCCTGTTGCGATAAGACAAGGACTAACGGTTTTAAGCTAAAACAGGGTTGATTTCGACTAGATAGAAGGAAGAAAATTTTTATTATGAGGGTGGTGAAACACTGGCACAGATTTCCCTGAGAGGTGGTAGATGCCCCATCCCTAGAAACATTCCAGGTCAGGTTGGACAGGGCTCTGAGCAACCTCATCTGGTTGAAGATGTCCCTGCTTATTGCAGCGGGGTTGGACTAGATGACCTCTAAAAGTCCCTTCCAACCCAAAGCGTTCTATGATTCTATACTTTGGGACTGCATGCAGATGAGTTCAAGTAGCAGTTTTGTTTACCTCTTTTTACCTAGAAACATGAGAAAATAAATGAAGAAAGTCCCTGCATAGAAAGACAAGATGCAAAAATTATCTAAAAAGAACAGAGTAATGAAATAGTGAATCAGTAGTCAAACCTGTGCATTGAAAAGATACTGCAAGTGTGCACACATACTCACTTTTTGGTTTTACCTTTAAGTAGATAAAGGTTCATTCAGAAAGCCAGACTGATTATCAATCCTCGTCCCACTCATCCCAAATTAAACAAAGATGACCAACGCTTTTCTCAAAATATTTAAGGAAAGCCCATGTGTTGTGACAAACATCCCATATAAAAACACTTTTAATTCTTGGAGTAATTTGAGATGTCACATTTGATAAACTGTAATAGGTTCTAAAAAGCTATTCTAATCATTACTTTCCAAGCTACAAATAAAATGCAAGCCTGACACTGCTGCAGCTTTAACTTCCACCCACCACATCTTACGACCTTTAGTCGGGTATGAGAAGCTGTACCTTCAACTCCTCTAAACATTAAATCCCATCACATTTAGTTTTTCATCCAGTGCATCTAAAAGATGTTGAGCAATTTGAGCACTTACAGTTCCCAGCAGCAAAATGTGTCATCGCACTACAGTAGCTCTAAGCTAGAACAGCACCATTTTTTTCTATCTAGCTTTCAGTGCCAGAACAGCTCTTTAGACAGTTACAGAACTCCCTCTGCTGCGCCCCCCCAACTCAAAAAGCATAAGATAGGAGGCAAAGCAAAAAACACCGTGATCTAAGTGGTCCTTCAAACAAGGTTAAGCTACCCTCCCTTTATAGGTTTATTCTAGGTTACAAGTGGCCCATGACTATTTCCTTTGGTTTCTTCTCACAGAAATGGAAGGCTTCATCAGCTGTACAGCTTCCTCCAAACACTACAGTTCACTTGAATCTGTTGCAGTCAGCAACCATAAGCACCCGCAGTTTCTTACCTGAAATTCGTAACTGATGCAAAAGTCATCAAGCAGACTTGTCAGAAAAAGGAGTCCGACTGCCCAGGGTACTGTACTCTGAATTACAGACTTCAAGCTTAAGCATACCCACTGCAAGTTGCAATTTAAGTATACCATTTCTTCAGCTCACTTCCAAGTACACCATTAAGACTTACTTTACTTTTTTGCACGAGCAGTCAAACTACAGTTTACAAAAATAATAGTATTTCTGTAAATAAATATTTAAGTTGATAAATACTTTTGAAAAGGTAGTCATAAAAAGAACAACAGCCCACTTTTCCATGATAATAGATTTCATAGTACTGCCTGAGTCAGTTCTTGATTCTCACAAACTTGGGCATTAAACCTTCAGTCTTGTAAACAGAGCTTAAAAGTATTATTACCCTGTATTAAGTGGGAAGGCAGTACAAGAAATAGTGCTCAGCATTGTGCGCTAAATACCAGAAAACATGAGAGAAGCCTGTAAGCTTGTTCAGCTGTGCAAGACGCTGCAAGTTATGATTACAATTACTGTGGCATTTTCCTTTGGGACACAAATGATATGCATCTTTGTAGCATACTGCACTGGCAAATAAAAAATAAAAGAAAGAAAAAGCACCTTTAAGGAAATATCCTTGAATTGTTAATGGCTGCTTACCCTCTATAGCTTCTACAAGACCAGAACGCTCTTTTGGACAAGTGCCACCAAGCTTGTTCTGAAGCAAACTCTTCCACAAGAGGTAACAGAAGACTACTTACGTCTGTCAAATGCAAAAACATTATACTAGAAGCAACATACAGTTCCATCCTTCTCTGTATACAGCTCTGTAAAAACATGTCTATCAATGAAGTTGTGGATGTAGCCACTAACCTTCAGTTCCATGGAGATGCACACATTCCATGCATGTCAAAATAATACCAGTTAATGAAACTGCAGTGACATACGCCTTTTTGTGTATCTGATGTAGAAGCAGCCATCAATATGCACTCCTCAAGCTTTTATTGAGTAACTGTTTACAAGATGTTTAACAGATCCTTAAGATTTAGTCATCTCATCACTAGATTCAAATTTTTGTAACTGACTTGTTACAAAAAGGAACAAACAGTAAGTTTAGATGAGCCCTTTACATAAAGCTCTTTCCCAAACTAAGTCTTTACTAGGCAATCTTCCCATGCAAAATTTTGGTAAAGTAAGTTCATGGAATCTACTACTTTCCACTTGCAAATCCCCCACCTTTTTACAGTGGTATACTAGCTACCAAGCATCAAATACTTACTGAAAAGTTTTAACACTTAATACCTGAAGTGTTTCCTAAAAACGTTGCTTTTGACTTCCTACATTAAGTGATAATCACCACGGGGTTCATCATAACAGAGTACATATCATATGCTAAAGCTTTCAGCAATGTATATGAGCTACTCTTTTAAACCTTAAGTGTTGCATAAGGTCAACAGTAAAGAACATTAACACTTCACTTAAAGCACAACAGAATACAATCTAGTTTGGTGCTAAAGTAGTTTTAATCCCATGACTCAAATGCATTTGCAGAGTATGACATCTTCATTCCTCCTGGGTTCATGTTGCCTCTGCCTCCATAACTCTACGAAACAGAACAGGTACTAGTTTAGAATCATTAATACTTTCAATCACTTAACAGTAAAAAGTCACTACAAAATTATTTTAGCTTTCTGCATCCACATCTCAATGTAATTTGGACATCGTATTTTTTAAATAAATACAGCAGCTCTTTCATCATTAAACTTTTATAAATGAGGTTTTTAGACCCCAGTGTGAAATTAGTACACTTTAATCACCCTCAGATTTTATCAGGTGTGGGAACAATCCTTCCCAAAGTTCAAATCCCAACTTCTTCTCTTACCCAACACAAATCAGTTCACACAACTCTGGGGAAAAACTTCCTTCTCCATTTCGTGTTTAAGAATGACTGTCTGTGTTACTTTCCCAGAAAAACCCTTTTCTTTTGGAAAAAAGGATTAAGCCCACTCATCTATAAGATTGTCCCAAAATAATCAGATAACACTCCACAAAGGTTGGAGATGTGTATTTGGAAGCAATCTAGACTCAAATATCCACCTTTGAAAGCAATCTATACAAATTTTAAAACTGTCCTTGAACATGAATATAGAAAAAAGAGGCTGCAAGTGTGAATAGGAAGCAAAAGTTTAAGTGTGTAACTGAGGTCCCACGAAGACCCAAAGGAAAAAAGATTCAGATCCAATTAGAGAACTAGTCAGGCAGGTAAATACACCCAAATTCAGTAATTATGGTATGGGAAAAGATAATTAACAAAAGAAAGGTCTGAGCCTGAAATCAAGCTTCAGACATTGTGTAAGCAGCAAGAGTAAATATTTCTATTGTGGTCTCTAAGAGAGTATTATTATTTGGAATGCCACTGAGACATGATCAAGTTCTTACAGAAGCAAGAGATCAAGGAAAGGCTTTTGATGAAAGCATTACATTTCAATAGATAAAAGCAAGAAGTATCAAACATCAGTTAAAAAAAAATCATTGAAAGTAGGAGTAGGCATAGAATTTAATCCTAAAATCGTGATGGCAGAGTTATTTGAGAGTTGTGCCACCTAGGCTGTCTCGTTTACACAAGCTGTATTTTAACATCTGGTACCAGCAACACTAAGAGACCAGAAGGCTCCTCCTCATCAGAGACATTAAGAACAACTTGGATATGGATCAGATTGGGGCATTTATCTAACTATAATTAGCTTAAGTTTTTAGTCAAACGAGTTACTTGACTGAGTGATTCATAACAAACACTGACTGTGTAACTAGCAACTGTTTGCTCCTACCCTACACGTGCAGTAGAGAAATTTCTGGAACTACAGCCTTTGCATATGTTTGCACAAACCTTTTCTTCCACAGAGTAATTCTTCACACTACAGATCAAGACTAATGCAGCTAGTAAGGCTACACTGTAAGAGTCCAACTCAAGTGAGTTGTCCAAAATCATTTCAGAAATACTGAACACTTTGAAGAGGCACAACTAAGATAAGGGACACAGTTACAGTCAAAAGAGTTTCAGTGGCATTAGTCTAGATATATACTGCTAAACACAATTTTATACTCAGACAAAGTTCTGAAATGCCGAGATTTAAAATTACGTTTCCAGACTTACCTTGTGGGTATGAAATGACGTAGGGACTCTTTCTCCTTGAAAACCAAAAGCAATTTCTTCCAATTAGAGACTGACTGCTTTACCAATTCATATTGACTTCCATAACTGTACCAAACAAAGTTGCTCAGTACATTAATGAACAGAAGTCAAGCACTAAGATTTGTAACTTACATCTGAAAGCACTTTAACTAGAGATTGTGCAAGATGGCCATCTGTATTGTTATCAAAGAAGCAAACTGCTTTGCCCGTATTTCCACAACGACCAGTTCGTCCAATTCGGTGTACATACTCTTCAATGGTGAAAGGAAGATCAAAATTAATAACGTGTTGAACGTTTTCAATATCCAGACCTCTTGCTGCCACTGAAGTTGCCACAAGAACTGGACATCTTCCAGAACGAAAATCCTGAAGAGCTACTTCTCTCTCTCTCTGTTCTCTATCTCTGCGAAGAAAGAATGGTTAGAATGGATGTCTCAAAAAATCTGCAGTATTATTTAAGCTACAAGGTCATGATTCATGAACAGAAGTAGTTCTCAGGGGCAGGGAGGAGGGACCAACAAAACTCCAAACCATACACACACTAAAAAACCAAAACCAAAGAGAACAACAACCCACAGGCTACGAGTTAAGGTTTTCTGAATTTTAACTGATTAGCAGTAAGACATGGCAACTATTTTAACCTACGCCTCTAGAGAAACTCTTTTTTTAGAAGAACCAGAGCTAGTCATGTATCCAACTCACTGCCTCCCTAAGAATATCCACTTGTTTAACTGATTGTTTCTTCATGCCATAATTAAAAGTGCTCTTACTACTGCTTTGTAGCAGGGAGCCAGAACAGCAAAGATTAAGTCTACCTAAACTCCTGCATAGGCCATTTTTTAGATGCACTAGCAAGTGTGGCCACCCTATAGTGCAGAACTTGCCTTTTGTTTATCATAATGAGAAAACTACATTTGCTCCAGGGTTTCCATTTTTAAAGAATATTTACATATTATCCAGTACTTAAATACAGTAGATCAGAATTTAACTCATGTTCTTTGTTGTCCAAATCAGAGAGCAAATTAGAAAGCTAAGAAACAGTGCTCTTTTGAATCTAACACGGGACATTTAGTGAAGTCTGGTATGACCACTGTTCCAGAGAAGAGCAACTATCCTAACTAACTTAACTCGAAAAACTCAAGTGAATCAGAAATCAGTAACATTCATGAGAGTTTAGCAGCTTCCATGGAACCAGCTGCTCTCTTTGTAAATATACCTTGTAAGTGTAACAATACTCCAGAAATGTGTTAAAAACCCCCTCCCACACAGGAGAGGTCGTGGGACAGCAATTCAGGTTAGTCAAGAACAGAAGGCCAGATCTTCTCAAAATGACCCTTAACACACCTGTAAAACTGATAGGGCAAAGGATACACACAAACATGTTGTATCTGTGTACTGAGATAATTCCAACCCGTCTATAACCTTGATATTCTGATGTCTGTCAGAACACTGCGCAAAACATAATTTTATTGGCAGGAATTCAAGTCCCTTCCTCCTACTACAAGATGAAAAGTATTGCAAAATTACATTTTTGATGTGCTACATTTCACTGTGAGTCTTAAGATTCAGTTTGTTCTATATTTTCACATATAAACAAACACCACAAAACTACATTCCAGCTCAATTACATGAAAGGCAGACCATTTTTTAGGTGGGTTCAGACCTGGACTTAGCAACTATTTCACCTTGTTTCTCAGCATTTGTTGGTATGCAACACTAATGAGTAGACTACAAACACAAGTAAGAAGCATCTTCTCTTTAGAGCAATCTCTGTACAAATGCTACATCCATGAACACATCAAGGAGGCAGAAATGACAGCATTAGAAATCTCTGTGGTGTATGACTTGACTTACCTTGTCACTTTGAGGATGCTTGTAAGGCAGAGTGGAAAGCCTACAACTGCCACTTGAATTTACAAACACCATGTCACCAGTAACAACAAAAGGTCTGGTTTTGGTCACACAAATGACAACAAAAACTACATACAAACAACAACTGATTCTACTGAATTTACTATATACTAAGGTTTTCTTTCTAGCAGTAGGCAAAAGATTCTTCAGTTCATATACAGCATTGGAAATGTGGTCAACCAGAAAGTTGTATATTCAGTAAATGCTGTGAGAACTGGCCTTCAGAAACACTGCATTCTCAATTGGGCAGAGCTGCTGAGGATTACAAGGCTATCTGAAACAATGCAAGTTAAGTCACACAGATATGGCCAAATATGGAATCTCAATTAAAAGCTTCTCACACGATACAGTATTAAGTGATTTTTCACTTAATACTATTACCCAGCTTTCTCTTTAAAAAATACTTACCCATGGATGCTAGTGGCTGGTATTTTTTCTTGACAAAGAAAGGCTGCAATATAGTCTGCTTTTTTCTTTTTGTCCACAAACACCATGGTTCGTTCATGACCTATGTTAAATAAGGGTTCAGTTCAACTGCAGTTTGAAACCTGATGCATTTTCACTATTCACAGTTGCAGTTACTTATATAAAACACCTAGTATTAGAAGAGGTTTTGAATAAAGTCTTTAAGGTATGATTGTAATTTCTTGTCTGTGTTGAACTAACTAAATTAACCCTTCAATCCATCAATTTCTAGATCAACACAGAAACAGAGGTGAAGACTAGTACACTGTTTTTCTCCTCAAAGGAGGAAACTAATGTTCTCTGCGATAAGAATGCACTCCCTTTCTACAGCATGTGGCTAAATGAAGCACACCATTCTGAGCACTGAAGAGGAAGGTACACAGACCATTTTTTAATTCTAAACTCCCTTCCAGTTTTCAGCGTTAAAGCTTAAAAATACATTCAGAGCAAAAATGGAGAAATGCCAGCCATTAACAAAATACAGGCCCAAACATTTACATAAGAACTTTAATATACCTATGATCTGGAGATGATACCCCCAGATGCTGAAGTGTTTGTTGTAATTGACCATATAAAGAAATGAGCAGACAAGCTTCCCAGGTGGTTAGAAATGAGACCTTGACAAATACCCATAACACAAATATGCCTAAAAACCAATAGCTCTCTGAGGTCTGCTTCAAGCTTCAATCAGTAGTCTTATAAAGTGTGTAACGCATGTAATAAAATGCAACCATGACCTGATCAACAACAACAGCACACGTTTAAAACCAAGCAATTTTGTTCTTCCCTGGAAAACAATTAGCTATAAGGAAAGTTACCTATGCTTTGTAGAATTTCTATCAGTTTATCCCTCTTGGAGTACTGAGGAACCTGAAGAATATTCTGCTGAACATCACTGCAAGCTCCACCCACGTGTCCAACAACAACAAATAAATAATCAGTTTTCAAAAATTCACCAGCCAGCCTTGAAAAGAAACAAAATTGAGCAACATGAAGTCTATTATGTAGCTTATTTTTGTGTTAAGATCAAATAACTTATGTTCAAGCAACCCTCACAACAAATACTTGTATCATTCCTCACAAGGCAGAGAATATAAGTAGTCACATACGTATTTTTAAAAAGCTAAGAGTCTGTATTGTTTTCTAGACAGCTGTACAAAAAAACCTGATCAATAAGAAGCACAGAGACTAATTACATCACTGCAGCTTTTAATAATGCAAACACAGCATTTTCTAGACATCTCAGAAAGAGTTCCACATATACTTCTAAAGAAATGGGTTACTGACAGATACACTCACAGAATTGTTCTCGAGGCACCATTTCATCACTAGCTGGAGGGATAGGGGAGAATCCTACACAGGCCAGGATTCCAAACAGGCCTCCAAGAGACACCATAATCCTTTTTGACTGCTCAACAAAAGCAGTGCTTAAAAACACAGATCTTATTACATGGCCTTTATTTACCAGTTACCATAGGCAAAAGTCAAGTTTTGCTGACAGCATTCCTCTTCAGTTATCCCTTATATAGGCGATCTTATCCAAGACATCAAACTCACCAAAATAGGTAATATCCTTAGAATGCCCCATAATACTCAGAGTTTTACTAGACTCTGTTAACTTATCCATATACAAGCATGTTTCACGTCCTGTGTACACACAGCAGCTTCCACTGAAGTAAAATTCAGATGGTAAACAAGTCAAGCTTTAACTGAAAACAGGCAATCATAGAATCATAGAATCATTTAGGTTGGAAAGGACCTTTAAGATCAAGTCCAACCGTTAACCTAACACTGCCATCCCACCACTAAACCAGGTCCCTAAGCACCTCATCTACCCATTTTTTAAATACCTCCAGCGGTGGGGACTCGACTACTTCCCTGGGCAGCCCATTCCTGTGCTTGACCATCCTTTCTGTGAAAAAATTTTTCCTAATGTCCAAACTAAACCTGCCCTGTCCGAACTTGAGGCCATTTCCCCTCATCCTATTGCCTGTTACCAAGGAGAAGAGACCAACACCCACCTCACTACAGCCTCCTGTCAGGTAGTTGTAGAGGGTGATAAGGTCTCCCCTCAGCCTCCTCTTCTCCAGACTAAACAAACCCAGTTCCCTCAGCCACTCCTCAGAAGACTTGTGCTCCAGACCCCTCACCAGCTTGGTTGCTCTCCTCTGCTCCAGCAACGCAACATCTTTCTTGTAGTGAGGGGCCCAAAACTGAACACAGTATTCGAGGTGCAGCCTCACCAATGCTGAGTACAAGGGCAGGATCACTTCCCTACTCCTGCTGGCCACACTATTCCTGACACAAGCCAGGATGCCATTGGCCTTCTTGGCCACCTGGGCGCACTGCTGGCTCATATTCAGCCAGCTGTCAACCAGTACCCCCCCTCGTCTTTTTCTGCCACACAGCTTTCCAGTCACTCTTCCCCAAGCCTGTAGCGTTGCATGGGGTTGTTGTGACCCAAGTGCAGGACCCGGCACTTGGCCTCGTTGAATCCCATACAGTTGGCCTCGGCCTACCCATCCAGCCTGCCCAGGTCCCTTTACAGAGTGCTCCTCTCCTCAAGCAGATCGACACTCCCACCCAGTTTGGTGTAATCTGCAAACTTACTGAGGGTACACTCAATCCCCTTGTCCAGGTCATTGATAAAGACATAAAATAAGACCAGCCCTAGAACTGGGCCCTGGGGGACACCGCTTGTGATTGGCCACCAACTGGATTTAACTCCATTGACCACAACTTTCTGGGCTCGGCCATCCAGCCAGTTTTTTACCCAGTCAAGAGTACGCCTGTCTAAGCCATGAACCACCAGCTTCTCTAGGAGAATGCTGTGGGAAACTGTGTGAAAGGCTTTACTGAAGTCCAGGTAGACAACATCCACAGCCTCTCCCTCATCTACCAGGTGGGTCACCTGGTCATAAAAGGAAATCAGGTTGGTCAGGCAGGACCTGCCTTTCATGAACCCATGCTGGCTGAGCCTGAGCACCTCACTGTCCTCCATATGACTGGTGAGCACACTCAAGTAGTGAGCACTCTCAAGTTTTCGGACAAATTCCTAAAAAGGAGGAAAGTCTTAAAAACGCTAAAGGATTGCCCTAAAGACTAGAACCTCCCACCTAAATTACAGGTGTAATTGCCACTGAAAAGGTGTTTTTCACAGCAAATCAACAAGCTACTAGATATTTAAAGGTGTCCAGTCTTAAAATTTGACTGATTTAAGATCTCTCAGAGACAAGGTTCTAAATTGAAAGTAAAGGGCAATTTTAAACTCTCTGAAAACAAAACAAAAAAGATGAAGGGAGAGAAGAAAGAAAAGACCTTTTAATGGGAGATGTAAAGCCTCGAGTGCTAAGCTGAAGTTCACCAGTCAGCTAGGAAATGCATGGTTCTCGCATCTCAAGTGCACAGGAAGAGCCTTGATGATCTTAAAGGTTGAACACCTTGAAGCCTTGAGCAAAGGTTTATGTAACAGCAGAGACCCAAATTCAGGTACAAAACTGAACAGCATGTTAAAACTAAATCTGATTACACTCACTGAACATAAGTGCGGGAGAGCTAGAACCCACCAGGGTCAAAGAAAGCACATTGTCCTATGCTACCAAAGTAGTTAAACTGCCTATCGTTGTTTCGATAGCAGAGTATGGGAAAACATTAGCCTTCCTGACTCCAAAATCAGAAAGGCAGTAAATCCAGGAAGAAACTGACAAGAAGGGTTTTCACTCTTCAGGCATTCCACCTTCAAAGGGTTACAGAATATTATTATACACTTCCAAACCATGATCCAAACACTCAAGTTTAAGTCTTCTACCAGCACTTAGAAATCCTGCAAGCCTCACAGCAGAAAGGTAGAACTGGGTTTTTTTCATTAAACAGAAGCAGCCAGTAAACGTTCTACACAGCTGAAGGGATCTCCTCCTTTCAGATGCTGGTAGTTACAGTATTCTTTACTCATCCCTCAGCATGAAGCAAAAACACATAGCAAGAGCATTAGTGAAGACACAGTGACAAAGACAACAGATCTAGAGACCAAGGGATCAAGATTCCTCTCTCAACCCCAAAACCTGAGCCAATCAGAACACACTGTGCATCTTAAAGGGACATACCATTGATCTGTTCCCAGGATGCAGTGCAAAGTGAGACCACATTCCCACACAAACAGTAAAGACATGGAATGAACATGCACCACACTCAAATACAGTATCATTTGAACAGTTGATTCCCAGCTGTGGCAACAAGGCTGTTATTAGCACTACAAATCTTCTTTCAATAGAAAAAAACTCTATGAAGAAAGCTTTGAGTGAGGAATCAAAGCCACAAGAGGTGACTTAAGACTGAGTTTAAAGTGAATTCAACCCTACTTAAAGAAAGGTGAGTCCTCCTCAACAGCTGTTAGTATTAACTGATTGAATGGGAGAAAGCAGCCCATTCCCTCTTTCATTCAGGACAATCACCTACTGAGGGTGTTTTCTCCCTGCCTCCAAGATGATCTTTCAGGCTTTTTGAAGGCCAGAAGAAAGTGGTGAGGATCTGACTCACTGAAGTACCAACATACTTCACTGCAATGTTCTGATCAGTTTACATGCTCTCAAACTGTAATATCCTTACTCATATTTTTAGTGATACTGTCACAACAATATCCCTACCACAGTAAGCCACACAAATTATTCAACTGCTCAAACTGAAGTTTAGACTCGTCCGATTTTAGAACGAGTATTCAGATGCCTGTCTCTTCAAAAGTGGAAATATTGAGTAATTTCATCCACCTACAGGGAATGGGGTGTTTTGTTCTGTTACTCCCAAGCTCAGCAACCCCATTACCATCTGTTGAAGACTCTTCTCCCAGAGTCTGGGAAGTGGAACTTTAGGAGTAGTAAGTAGTAGAGCTGTAAGACATATCCTAAACCCATCTGTGGAAGCTTTAAAATTACTGAAAACAAATTACACTTACACATGTAAATAGGAAGTGTGTATCAGAAAGGCTGGCGAGTTGAGCAATAATTGGGATGTCTGGTTATATTACGTCCTGATGCCAAAGGCAGCACTACCAGTGCTGCTTGTTAAACAGCAAGGCCACTGTTTTTGAGCTTACACAGATGTGGTAGGGGAGGGACAAGAAACAAGCAGGAGCACAATGAGGACTTTTGCAGAAGTGGAATTTAAAAGCCTTCAGACAAACTTCATAAGTTGCTTTAGAGTCTCCACCTAAATTAAGCAGTTAATATATGCAAGTTACTAGTTCTGCTACCTAAAAAAAGGGAAGTCTTCAGCATGAAACGTTAACATCATAGCTTTTCAGTATCTTCTAGCAAGATAGTAAGCTTTTAAACATAAGGAGTGCTCTTAACAACTCTTCAGACATTTACCTCTATACCAGTACATCTTCAGATAGATTTCCATTTTTACTTCACTCACCTCTGAACTTCTTCAGGGAAAGTGGCACTGAACATTAGTGTTTGACGTTTGTCTTTTGGTGGCATGCTTGGATAAGAAATCAGCTTCTTCATGTCTAATCCAAAACCCATATCAAGCATGCGGTCAGCTTCATCCAGCACCAAATACTTCACATTGTGCAAACCAATCTGCAATTATTTCAAGTGAAAGAAAAACTGTTACTGGTTCACTGACAGTATACACTTACAGAATGTCCTAATTTCCAAAATTCACCTTCTACTTATTTATTTCTAGTACAAGTTAATTATTCACAAATAAAAGCCTACGTGCATTAAGTTTTATTTGCATCTCAACCTCTCTAACTTTATAATCTGCACCAATTCTAATACTATGCATATGCTGAAGTGCTTCAGAACTTGGTTCAGCAATGTAAACCAAGATAGAGCCTACAGATTTACTATTATTCAGCACATCTATTTTGAAATTATGAGAGAACCTTTGTAAAACTCAAGACATATAACCCTCACACATTCTCAAAAAATTCCTTGTTCTGAAAGGACATTACAAGGAAATTACAACTTCACTGTTGCTGGCCAAGACTGTCATTTTGACTAGAAGCCTGACAACCACAGAAAGCCAATCTCCAGTTTAGTAGAAAGAAGTGTTTTTCCAGACTTCATTTGTCCAGTGCAACATCACTGACCCACCATTATAATACATAGCACTTTCAATTTGAACTTATAATGGCTGGAAAAATAAAAATTCAAACACAATACTACACCTGGAGTTTTTTGTATTTTGAATAAAATAGTATTAAAACATTAAAAGAATTAATATTAGTATAGTTCCAGACAAATAAAAGATACTGTAGCAAAACAAACAGGACATCAAGTGAAAAATCCGCTATGGAATTTTCCGTAAGAACTAAGAGGTGGTGTTCCATGTATTTAAACTATAAAATTTAACTGCCAAGAACATTGCAGCCAGTTTGATTTAGACTGGTATTTTCCAGTGGGCCCTGAAAGGGATTGAAGAGATCGCGACTTCCACTACTCTTTCAAAAACCTCATGCTATTTAGACACTTCAAGAAAAGCTTGTTTCTATTTTAAGTAAGTGCCTGTACAAAGGCAGCATACTGACTGGTTTTCATGGCTCTATCTTTGCTTCTATTGAATCTGAACAATGAAAACCAGTATGCAAAATACTAAAGAGTGTTTAGGGAATTCAGATTAAGTTTTAAGATCCTACCTTCTCTTTTCCAATGATGTCTAGAAGCCTTCCTGGGGTGGCACATAGTATATTACAGCCTTGCATTACCTGGCGGATTGAATGGCCTGTTTGTGTACCTCCATAGATCACAACAGGCCTTATACAAGTTCTATTACATAGAAAAAAAAATGGATTAATTACCTAAGTATGCAAACAGTATTGTTTCATGACAATACGTAAAAAGTCATCAGATCTACCATAAACCATCTTAGAGTGGTTCAACTCCTTCATACAGCACAGCTTATAAGACCAGAAACTCACTCACTGAAAGCTCAAAGTACCCATTCATACTACATAATAGAGGCTGCATAGGTGGCTTACGACAGTAAATCAGGTAAGCCTAGTAAATTTTTACCAGGTTCAGTTGGAACTTTTAAGAAAGCTTTAGTCGAGAACCGAAACAGGCTGGACTTACAACATTTCAACATTTATCCACCATCAATTAATATAGATGTTTGATATTCCTATTTGTGAACTAAACGAAAAAGCTTAAGAATGTAATGAAACTGAACTGAGCAATAATGCATGCAGTTCTTTAGAGACAACAGATTCACACCCTGATATTGTTTAACTGCCCCCCAAATGCAGGTTATTTTGCTTTTACTGCAGGGCAGCAGTACCAGAAACTTTCTAAATTCAAAATCTGTTTTACTGAGAAGTAATCTGCACCTAGTTTAAAACAGCGTAATTAGAAGAACTAGCTACACTTAGAACAGGCTTAGAGATTAAGAAGCTAATATTAATAACATGCTTAGTAAGTAGATACGCAAACACACTGGTACTTCCCAAAGGCAGGCAGCCTCCAAGCATGTTTGCTTGAATGAGTAAAAGCAAGTCTAATTTAGCTCACCAGATTTTGCACTGACGATGTTCCATGCCACCTCCCAACAGTAACAAGACATTACAGACAATAGATTTAATTCTCTTCTTGTGCACTGATGAAACCTATCACTTAGCATTAGAAAGATCACTGGCAAACTACTACAAATGTACTCATGCAACAACATCGAAGAGCTCAATGACAAGTTTAGACCTTTTGTTCTGTTTTGAAGAAGCAGAGCTAAAAGAGCTTGCTTGAACTGTGCAGTTTCTGTCTGAGACCAGAAACACTGGGAAGTACAGTTATGAGAAACCATCACTGAAAGTTAACTAAAAGCCCCTAAAACCTCTTTTTGTCAACTTGAAATAAAAGCAAGTATAAATTACATAAGGCAAGCTAAATTTAAGTTGCTTCTTTTAAAAAACTTCATTTTTCTCATCAGTAAAGATGTGACACAAGTTTACTACTTATCTCTTCTTTAAGCCTCCCCCCACCATCAGAAAGATTAGTTTAAATCCCTAGCCATACAGTAAGAAACCCGCTAGCCAGCACTACTGTCTAAATTCAACTGTTTGTAGTGATTTGATTGGCACAGAAAATGTTTTGAAAATATTAATGAAAAAAAATAAAACACTGCTGATTCAGACAAAGTAAAAATGAACAGGCAACAGTGCAAAAGCTTACCCATAGACAAATTTCCTTGCTTCTAGGAAGATCTGATTTATCAGTTCTCTAGTTGGGGCAACAATAATACATTCTGGTTCTTGCTGCTCTTTAAATCTACTGGCAGTTACACCATCTCTCATCATGTGGGCCACAATTGGTAGAAGAAAAGCTGCCTGAAAAAAAGCATCAGTATTTATGCTGTTTAGTCTTAAAGCTTTCATCAGTCATACTAAAAGCTGCATATCAATCTTAAAGCTACAATGATACAGAGCATTATCAACTTCAAGGAAATCAGACTGCAAAAGGATTGATCTGAATGCGCTACAGAACATTTAAGCTTATTTCTCCTTGTTTAAGGAGCATGAAAGTATTTCTCTGGACCCTAAGAGTCTAGTAATACAGGAATGTAGTCATGCACCAGCTAACTTCTGGGTTCTTCAGGCAGTTCTACACATCATGCTGACATACATTGATAATTAATGTACCCCAAGATCAAAACCCCTCCTTAACACTTACTTACAAGCTTTAAATTATCAGTACATTTGTAAGGTAACCACGTATCATAATTTTCCACACTAATGCAACAGCAGATCAGTTTGCAACACAGCTGCACCAGCACCCTTACTTCCATGTAAGACTAGTTACCCCCAAGATAACTGGCAGTCCCAAAGCATTCAGAATATTACAGCATAACCTTTGGATATTTCCCCCTCTGCAAACAGAAGAGGTTTTTCAAAATAAGTAATTAATAAGCTACATAAAAAAGCTACAATTCCACACTATACTGAATAGCAAAAATCTATATTTAATAACCAAATATTCTCATACAGAGCTGTCAGTGGTCAGATTTATGTACATCACACAGTTCAACAAGTTGAAACAACTGCCAACTTAGTATCAACTCTCAGCACGGTTCCAGGATTAATACTGAATCACCTAAAACCAGGTCTGGTGCAGATCACACTTGATCGAACTAAGGATGACAAACCAGCTCACTACACTGTTACAATATGGCGTAAGTTTAAAAAAAAAAAACCAAAAACCAAAAAACACAAACCAAAATACACATACCAACAACACACAAAACACAAAGAAACCACAACTTTCAACTGCTGAGGTGTTTGTTTTTCCCCCTCATCAGCAGTTTCTACGACTGCCTATACTTCTGAATCTGTACCTGTAGCCCTGAAGACTGGCTTGCTGTATCCGTACACTAATTCACTAAAATTAAAAAGAAATTCAGCCCACAAATACGACAACCCATCCATCACTCATATCTGTGCTTAATACTAAACCTGCAATTGCAGTGCAAGTCAAATCATTAGACAACAAGCTGTGAAGCACCTGGCACATGTAAGACCGAGGCATCCACCTAGAAGTTCAGTCACACACTTCCAATAGTATGAATACTACACAAAATGCTTACAGTTTTTCCCGATCCTGTCTGGGCACATGCCATTAAATCCCGTCCTGCCAGTACAGTAGGAATGCTGTACTTCTGCACTGGAGTCAGTTTAGAGTATCCAGCTTTAGCAATGTTCATGTTTAAAGTCTGACAGAGGTTAGCTTCTTCAAAAGACTGTAAGAGAAAAAAAATTATTAACAGTACATAACCACAGAAGTTAAAGTTTAAAAAGTAAAATGCTTACCATAGGATACAGACACCCAAACACTAAAAAGTATTAACTTTTGAGGAGGTGTCACCAGTCATCTAGATTGCCAAGGTTCCTGCAGGTAAAAGCCCCAAAGGTTTCTAATCTCTCATGCCATTCAACTAAAGCTGTCTGTAGGACACTGAAGGCCTTCAGCTGGTCTTAGCTTTGAGAGAACACTGCTTAGAAGCCATACATCTGGTTTCAAGGAGGTAAACTCACATCATGGCATGCTATGAAAACAAACCAAAATTCTTCATTCCACGTAGGAGATACATACTTGAGTCTCTGTGCTAAAACTAATACAGGTAGTTAAAGCAACATCCCTATCCAGGACCAAAAAGCATCATACATGACAAAATCAGTTTAACTTCATTGAGAAAACCTTTCAGGAATACAGATGGGGGAAAAAAAAGCTCTGCATCTCCTCTTTCCACACAGGTGCTACTACCCTCTCTGCCCTTCTTCCTCATTCTCTTCCCTAAAAAGAGCTGGTATGGAGTAGAAGCAAAGTTAAACAATAAACAGCAGCCACAGAAAACAGGGCTAGAAATTACTTCAAAAACAAAGTGCTCTCTGCCCAAATGAAAACTATTCTGACAGGTGTTCATTTACACTGTTAAAGATCCCCCAGTAACAGACTACAACAAAATGACTCCACCAGCCTTCCCAGAGACTGCTGCCAAAGACCCCTTTCTTTCAAGATCTAAACTGGTATTTTTCTCTGATTTAATGACTGTACTTCCTGTTCATCCAATATTACTTTCTCTGGGCCATTTCTGTAGTTTGTCAATGTCATTTTGAATTAGAATTTTTATCTTTCAAATGGAAGCTTCTCCTTTGAACATAGTACTGTCTGCAAGATTCAAAATCTTTATTAATACTTCCATTAGCAGTAAATATTAGACTGCAAAGGTATGGCATACATGCTTACAGAATCACACTCAACATAAATGCTGAGATTAGTGAGTTCACTAACCAGTAATGGTGCTGGAGGATCAAGTCCTGACACTTCGACAACATTTTCATCATACTTGTCAAAATTAATTCCTGTCTGATAACGTGCAAAGATGGCTTCTTCATTATCAGGTGGAGGAGGTGGCACATAAGTCACCTTTGGACCTTAAGAACACAACCATTCAAGTTTATGAACAATACAAAGAAAAAACCAAACTATTTTAAGTATGGAGCTATTGAAGTTCAGTTCAGTGGGACGTCATTTAGACATTTAGTTTTATACTACTAGACCTAGAAGTCAATTACAAATAAAGTCAGACTTTTGTAAAGCATTCTTGTCTCACATTTGCTCAAGGACCTTACGTTGAAGAGCTACTCACAAAAATTAAGCTCTACTTTACCACCATGCAAAAACCAATTCTACCATAAACTCATTGCACTATAAATTATCCTATTCAATTACAATCATTTATTAATACACAAGGATAAAACTAATCTGTTCATAGCAGTACATTCATAGTTCTGTACTCCTTAAGGCATTTTTCAAGCTAATGAACTCAGAGGTATAAAAGTAATTATTTGATGCTAATAGAAGGTTAGTAGTAGAAGCCATCTCACAGGGACCTCAAATGAGGAAGGATCAGGAACAAAAATTATTCATACAGAAGTCAGGAGTTGACTATTTGTCTTTTTGCATTTCAAGAGTAAGGCAAAATAAGGCTAAAGTAATTTGCAAAAAACACTGCAGGTAAGTAAACATTCTAATAGATTGTTCCAACTGACACTTTCAATACATGTCAAGAAGTCATTCATCGTATGTTTCAACCTTATCTCCTGCACATAACAATCATTAAATTCTATTTACTAACTTGCACTCATAAAACATTATCAAGCCTGTCTAATAGATTGTTCCAACTGACACTTTCAATACGTGTCAAGAAGTCATTATTCATCATATGTTTCAACCTTATCTCCTGCACATACCAATCATTAAATTCTATTTATTAACTTGCACTCATAAAACATTATCAAGCCTATTTTCCAGAAACAGCACCTCAGATGCTATAGCATCTGAAACTGATAAATCTGCTGTTCCTTTGTGGTTTCCTTTAGTGACTATCATCATCACTTCAATGCCTACACTACTGCCAATTAAGTTCTCTAGCACTTGTGTCAAGCAGATAAGCTTCACCATTAGAAAGAAAAAACAGCCAGCAACAGAAGAATTCTACAGCACTCCATCCCAAATACTTACATGTTTATTTAGGTGAGAACATCCACTGTGTTGCCCAGTGATTTGAATAAAGTTTAAACATACTGAGTTTAACAGTATTTGCCTTGGCAACTCATGTTACATGAATTGTTTTGAGATGGTTATGCATTTACCTTTATCACTACCTTCTTTTTTACCCAATTACTTCCAACAACTTTAAGAGAATGTTCCCTGAGTTAAAAGCAAATTAAAACTGGCATGTTACTTGTCAAGAAGCTACTCACCTCTTTCAGAACCTATTTCTTCATTACTTTCTTTGTAAGCTGCTGTTAAATAAAGCATTCCAAAGTTAATCACTTGTAGGAAAAAAAAAGAGCTCATTTGAGAGAAAATCTAAGTAAGAACCTTAATGGAAAATGCCTAAAGGCACTTGGAAAACTCAGTGGGTCCTGATACTGTTAATAGAATGAGTGGAAATATACAGGTAAGCAATGAAAGCTTAGTTACAAAAAGCCAGAAGACAAACGCCCCGCATTTGTGTTTTAAAGGGCAGAAAGAGAGGATGTCAGAACACTGAGCTTAGCAGGACCTCACAGTAACAAAATGAGGGAATTAAAACCCAGCATCTTACTGAAAGTCTTCACAAACCCGATCTGGTTCTTACTTGACTTGTATTAAGTCCCTGATCATCAAATTAAATGCAGTGATCCCAGATTGTGATATGACCATCACAAGATCTCTATATAAAGCAAGTTATATTTAAAGACAACCAAGAGGAATGAACCCTCCTAAATCCAGCATATGCTTTGCAAGGGCAAATATAGTTGTCTGTATTCACTTGAGACGAATGAGCAAAAAAAAAAAAGTATCTATAACAAGAAATTGAAATGCCATGGAAGTGTCAGTTTTGTTACTTTGTTTTGTTACCTCTTATGTGAGGTTTTTCCCCTAAAACTGATAAAATATTGTGAGTAATAAGAAATTCACACATGCTTATGGTTACAGCATCTTGGTTTTAAGAACCATTCAACTTTTCCACAAAATCAGGAGATGCTTGTTTTATGCTACATAACCAGCTTCTAAATAACTAAAGAGCCATAGCCATAAACTTCAGTATCATCACATTTTTCAAGAGTTCTGAGAGAAATTATACAAAAAGATAAAGCTATCCTGTTATTTCAACAGCCACACATTTATAACATCCACTTGATGACAGTTCTGACCTTGACATCCACATATTCTGTGTGTTGCTTTCATTATCACTTGAAAACACGAAGACATTTATGCTTAAGAGTGAGGAAGTACCACATTTTACATATGTAAAAACTGCATTAAGACTGAACTACTAACAGCAGCATTTCCAGAATCCATTTTAAGTCCTTACTCTTACCATACATAAAACAGAAAAAGCCTTAAACCTAACTGGTAGCCTCTAGCTACTCTGCAGGAAGTTGTGCTGCTCATCTCAACGAAGCATAAAAAACCCCTTTAGTGTAAGGCCCATCTGGAAAAGAAAGGAGGCTAGAAATGTAGGTAAGGGACACAAGAGTGAGTGAAGAGGAAAGACAACAACAAAAGCTCTTAACAGGTTCTCTACCCAAATGTGCAGCTCAAGCCATTCATAAAAATCATACCGTAAGACTGACAATTTTAACACTGGTATCACAGAAGTACAGTGACCCTGCAATGCCTCCTTCACCCTCCCTCATCTCCATTCTTCCTCACTGCAGCAGTGCAATCACAAAGTAATAGCATCAGGGCAGCGTATTAATCTGATTGTTCATTCTCAACAAGATTGAATTAACACCTCTAAACATCAATACCAGTTCTAAAGAGGCAGCCAGTAGTGTGACATGGGTCAGGAATGCTCTGTTCAGCAGCAATACTCTTAAGCAACTCTGTAAAACCAGAACTTCATCAAGATGGTGACAGAGAATCCAAGCAAAGGCGCAACATGCAGTGTGTGTAATCACTTTTAAACACTCATTTCTCCATCAGAAGATGTAATATCCTTACATCGTATCACCAATTGCAAAAAGCATAACTGGTTTAAGAAAAGCCAGCACAGCCCTATCTTCATTACCTCTACAAAATAGAGTGAAGTGACCACTATTCACCTATCAGTGCTTGTTCTGTTCTTTCACTAGATCCAGACACATTCTCTTACTATAAAAAGGACATACTTCCCACGCAACAAACTACTCTTTATGAAGAATCATCTTTCCACATGAACCTCTATACAGGCTAGTGCAACCGCTGCCTACCAATATCCATAACAGTCTTTATGGACTAATACTTTATACAATGGTCATGAAAAAGTAAGGAATTACTATCCTGCATTAAGGATGCAATTATGTCCTCTATGAGTAGAGGCATGTTGCCTCTAAAAAAAAACCAATTCTAAAGATGATTATTTGAACTAAAAATCTGAAAAGAACTTAATTTGAACTAAGTCAAACAGAAGCAAATCAACTGTTCTTTGGATATTAAGGAACGCTTCTGAAAATGCATACTAATCATTGCATCTTTTCTACAGCTAAAAATTCTTTTACAGGTACCACACAAAATGTTTTTTCCTTGAGAATATCAGCCATCCACTACACATTACACTAGTTTAATGGTATTTCTGATTTGAATTATAGGGCTTTTGTAAGCAATATATTACTGTGGTCTAGGTAGCACAATACATAGGTTACAAGCTACCGTAGCATCCATCAGTGGCAAAGGAAGATAGGACCATGAGGGAAAAATCCTTTGTAGACAGCAAAAAACAACATTAGAATAAAGTAATAAGGAAGACCTGCCCTCTCAAAGCTACAAACCTTACTTGTCAGCCTAGATAAACCTAAAACAATACTTCCCTTTATAGGCAGACATGGAAAAAGTCTGGAGTGACTATTTCAAAACTGAGCAAGTTCTTAAAGGATTGTTTTGAATTTTGGGGTTAGTGCCTCTGCTTCACTGTGCATTAACTGAGCCAGTAGCAGTAGGACCAAGAAAAAAAGATTACAGAAGACAACAGCTTTGAAAATCCGATTACTAAAATTCATCCAAGTTACAAACATGTCTTACGCATGCAAGCAAGCTATCTAGCATTTGCAGTAGGTTCTTAATTCAGGCAGGAAGAACAATCACAGTGACAGCATTCAGCAAATCTAAGAAGATACTGCATTGCCACAAATCAGCAATGAAGAAATCTGAAAGGTTCACCACCCTACTAAAAAGTCTCACCAGCACGACCTCCAAATGCTCCACTTCCTCTAGAGCCAGGGAGAATTCCAGACCGAGATCTGTCTGTTTGCTCATCTTTAATACCTGTAAGCAACATAGTGTAGTGGATGTAGTGTCTAAAATTAATAGAATACTATTATTCATTAGAAATACTATGCTTAAAGCTAATACTATTTACTCCAATAAACTCTACAGTGCAACAGCCCCAACAGATTCTTTATAACAAACTTCGCTGTATTATTCAGTTATACAATTTTTCAAAGATACCATCCATGTTCCAGAACACAGCTGAAGAACAAAAGCCATTTCATAGCTTTCACCTTTATACTTGTAGTTCACAAGGAGCAAGCAAACTCAGAAAGAATGGCCAAATGTACGTCCCACAAAAAAGTCAATATAAAAAAAAAAAACCCAACCAAAAAAACCTAACTTACTCTCACTTTGTCTGAAGCCACCAAGAAATCCTCCAAAACCTCTATT